GGGATAATCTGAAAGGGAGGCACAACAGATCACTGTGGTTGCAGTGCAAGGGCCAAGAAGGCCCACCCCTTATACATTCATTCATTCATTCAACACCTTCAAATTGAATCTAAAACTGGGAGGGGATCCAGTGTTCTTGGCATTTGCAAGGCATAACTTCCAGCAATGGCAGAGAAGAATCTACCTCATCTTTGAAACAAAGTCCATATGGATGACTGTTCAGGGTTTTATTCCAATACCATGAGATTCCAAGGAAAACAAATTATAGTGTCACATTTTACAATGAACTATTTTAGTTAACCCAAGAATATATATGAATTAAAATACAAATGTGGCATATAGACGCATTGCTGAGTGGTGACTCTGTGAACAGCAGCCATTGCTTGGGTAACAGCTGGTGAACACATCAAAAATACCCAGGCTATCGCTAGGCAACTGGTCAGTAAATGGGTTCTTGCGGCAATGCATATGCATGCAACAGTCGAGGTATTGTTGGAAACGATGTTTTCTCTGTGGTTTGTGCTCAAATGTTATAAGCAGGGTCAGTGGAGTTCCAGAGATGATTATTGGCAGTTGGAAACAGAGAGTTCAGTTGCAGCAGGGACTGAGAACAGATGAAGATCTGAAGAAAGCAGTCTTCTGGGATTTGGCGCCGTGTATATGTGGTGTTAACCGACGTTTCGGACCGTGTCTCACGGTGTTGTCGCTTGCAGATTTACCTATACTTTTTCTTCAACCCTGAAGATGGGGGCGATACGTTCCTCCGAAACGTCGGTTAACACCACATATACACGGCACCAAATCCCAGAAGACTGCTTTCTTCCTAGTCACCGCCGTGAAAGCCTCAAATCTTACATGAAGATCTGGTTGGTTGAGGGTTGGCAGTGCAGTTCAGCTTGGCAAGTGATGCCAAGAAGAGATGGTGTTATAGTTGAGATGACAGTTGACAAGAGTTCTGCACAGGAGGTTGTGACAAAAGTACCTGAGCAAGGGAAGCTGAAGAACCTCCACTGCTAGAAGCCATTGCTAGGAACAGCCACTGAAGACACAGCAGGCTAGAAAAGGCTTAGCAGGTCCTGTAGTGAACTGTGAAGCATGGAGATTAGCGGTGGTGCTGCAATTACTTATAGTTCTGAGTTGTGTCAGTAAATCCAATATCCAATCCATACCCCATCTATTGCCACACACCCCCGCACATGATAATAATGTTAAATACTATGCTTCTTGCTGATGACCAGGTGGTAACAGAAACAAGCGAACAAAAGCTTGAAAGACTGGTACACCTCTTATATCAACCCTGCAACACATATAACTTAACAAAATATCTTACGAAAACCAAAATGATGGCATTTTCTGCAACCCACCCAGTGAGGAAAAAATACGTAACTGAAAAACAAGTGTCTCATTTCCAGTATCTTGGTGTGAAGTATCTTATGCATATGATAAGGAAGTAGAAAACAAACTGCACTGCTGTCAAGCTATCTGTGGAACAATGTGGAGAACAATGAAAGGAAAAACACGAAAAGATATGGCAACACCAACACTGTTATATGGCTCTGAGGCATCGATGAGGAGAAAGAAGAAAACAGGATTCAAGCAGCAAAAATGAGATTTCTTGAAGCAGTAAAATGATATACAAGAGAATGCAGAATAAGAAATTAAAGCATAAGAGATGAATTACAAATATATATTCCTTAAAAATAAATTAGATCACACTAAAATGAAACGGAGAGAACATACTATAAGGATAAGTGAGGATAGAATACCAAAAGTGATAACCAGTTATAAACCAGGGAGCAGAGGATTACGAGGAATGCCTCGAAAATGTCTCCCTCAGAAGCCAGAACAGGCTGCAGCCTAATCCATGGACACAGGTTGAGAAGGAAAATAAAAAATATGAACACTGATATCCTTTTGTTGTTGAAAAAACCTACCTTTATCACATTCAACTATGAGTTTGCTATTTAAGAATTCTTTATGATGTGATGACATTTTGTAGTACAGAATAATAAATATTCTAAATTTTATTACACTACGACACTATTAGGAAACAGAGAGAAACCAAAACGATCATCTATAAAGTATATTTTATGTTTACATTAACATACAATGTCAAAAAAAAATATTCCTTACTAAGATAAACAAAAGAAAATTCCAACCAATGAATTTTTTAAAGAGAAGGTAGCCATTCAACTGTTATTAAAAAGTAGTTGGAAGAGAAATGATTATAAGCACTGGGCCATGTGTAAAGTGTTAGATAAAAAAAAGTTACAGAGGACATTAGAATTAAAATTTAATGGAAACAGACATATGGGATGGCCAAGAACAAGCTAGTTCAGCCAGATATTAGAGAATATAAGAGAGCAAAGTGCTGGAAAGAAATAAAAAAGGAAAGATTGTGGAAAGAAAGGCAATATTAGAGACTTATTGTCCACTGACCTGTATAAAATGGAAAAGGCATCAGAAGAAGAAGAAAAGAATGGGAATAATAATACATGGCAAAAAGCCAAATGATGGTTCTATTTTTCAACTGCATATAACATTAATGGTATGATGATTATGTATGATGGACTTGTAAATGAAGTGAAAGAATATGGGTGGCTCAATTCGACGCAATCCATGAAATATTCTGAAGGATCATCAGAAATCCATCAAAATCCTGTTATGATAGCTGACAATATGGTCAAGATTCTTCTGGAATATGAAATACTACCCACTATGCTGTGACATCCAGTTAAATTGAGACACACAGGGAAAGAAGCAGGTGTGGTTTCTTTAAGGCAAAACCGTGAGTACCACTAACTTCACTGGTCTTTACCAAGTGTCATGGCACTGTATCCACACTATGACAGTATCATACTACAAGCTGATTAGCCCAGAGGCCCTAAATTAATAATTATAAATCATGCAATAATTTACCGATGAAAACAAAACTTGGCAAGTACATACCTCAGTAGATTTGGAGATAATTGGGTTAAAGATGATGGAATTTGTTTCCATGCACCTGCATACACAGGCCAAACTAATGCTCATGCTGAACAACACATGGAATCGCAGACTAGCGGAAATGTCATGAACAAGGCAGGCAGGCAAATGGGTCAGTGTTTCCAAGTTACATTCTCATCAGTAAACTACTGTGTGATTTAAAAATATTAAGTTGGGGCCCCCTGCAAGCCAATCATCTGTAGTTCTGGAAACACTACATAATATTGTCACTCCTACAATTCTATGTAATTTTAAATGGGCAGCATAAGAACATATACCTTCCATTCATAGTATATTCCTGATGGTTCTGTTTGATATAGATGTGGGACTCCATCATAGTCAAATCCAGCCAACAGGCAGGATATACCAAACGGTCTTCGTCCATTACTTTGGGTATACTTCTGTTTCAGACCTGCAAATACAACACACTGGTATTTTATCATCTCATTCTTAATGTGTGTCATCTAACACACCCGACAAAATGGTTTTTTTACACACGTTTTCAATAACACAGAAAGTTTTGGGTCTGTCATGGCAGTAACTATGAAGAATACTATGGGAATGTTAGACCATTTAATCTGTTTGAAGTTTGGTAAACTTCTACTAAAAGACATCACATCCAACAAGAGAGTATTCTTCAAAAATGGTCACATTCAGTACAAAACACAGCTAAATAATTATAATTGCTATTTTCATCACAATTTAAAATTGGTATGTACGTGGTGCAATCCAAAAGTTCCCAAAATATATTAAGAAAAACTATTACATCTTACCTACATCTTATTCTGTACCATCACCTTCAAAGTAGTCCCCTTGGGAGCGCATACACCGATCCCAGCGTTTCTGCCACTTTTCAAATGCACCCTGGAAGTCTTTCTTTGTTAGGGTGTTTAGTACCGTCTGTGTTTCCACTTGAATTTCCTCAACTGTATCAAATCTTCGCCCCTTCAACTTGATTTTCATCTTGGGGAAGAGAAAGAAGTCGCATGGAGCTAAGTCTGGCGAGTACGGTGGGTGGGGAACAACTGCCATCTTGTTTTTAGCCAAAAATTCCTGCACAATGTAAGCTGTATGCGGTCGTGCGTTGTCATGGTGGAGTACCCAGTCGTTCGTGTGCCACTTCTCTGGATGTTTTCTCCTCATGTCCTCCCTCAAACACCTTAGAA